GCCCCCGGGCATCCCAAGCCCTTGGCGTGAGCCTTGCCTCCCTGTGGGCTGCACCATCGAGACTCCCGGAAGCCAGTTTCTCCACGAAACCCCAGACTGTGGGGTGTAAGCCAATGTGCTAATAACCTCCTCTCCCTCAGGTACAAATGAAGGGCAAACGAACAAAATGACCCAAAAACTACTCACCCAAATGGCAGAAATAAATAGAAGCATTAAAAGCATTAAGATAAACCCTGGCCAGTCTGGCTCAGCGGTTAGAGAGTTGGCTCAAGGACCAGGGTCACGGGTTCGATTCCGGACAAAGGCACATACTTTGGTTGTAGTTCAGTCCCCAGCGTTGGTCGGGGTTATGCGGGAGGCAACCAGTTGATGTGTCTCTCTCACCTCGATGTTTCTCTCTCTCTCCCTCTCTCTCCCTCCCTCACACTCTATCTGAAGATAAATAGAAAAACGTCCTCGGATGAGAATTAAAACAAATAAATAAATAAAATAAAAGCATTAAGACAAAAGATCCCAACTCCACAGGACCAACATAAAGGTATATTTCTCTAAATTTAAAACAGCTAATTGTACACTTATGTGCAACCAACAACAACAAAACAATACACCAAGAGCCAAATGACAGACAACTTGCAGCCTTCACTCAATGAGCTACATCACTCAATAGGCTCATTGCACGAAAGAGAAAGTGATAAACTGAACAGCATCCAAATTTCAGGACTTTTGACAAAACACACCGTGGAATAAAGTTAAAAACTAAAGCACCTGGGAGAAAATGTTTGCAATATATCTAACAAACTAGTAATTAGTAGCCAACATTCTTAAGTAGTTTCTACTAGTTAATAAGGAAAATGCAAGTAATTTTATAGAAAAATGAGGAATAGATGGAAAAAGCATTCCGCCACGAAGAAAATAGAAATACCCAGTAAATAAAAGTAATGACAGGTGCAAATCAAAGCAATAATGAGATTCAGGTTCTGGCCCTCAGGAAGCCACAGATTAAAAAGATGGTTAAGTGTCTAGCGGGAGTGCTCAGTTGGTTGACTGTCATCCCACGCACCAAACGGTTGGCAGTTTGGTTCCTGGTCAGGGCACATACCTGGGTTGTGGGTTCAGTCCTTGGTTGGGGAGCATACAGAAGACAACCAATTGATGTCTCTCTCTCTCTCTCCCTCTTCCCCTCTCTCTCTCTCCTCTCTCTCTCCCTCTTCCTCTCTCTCTCTCTCCTCTCTCTCTCTCCTCTCTCTCTCCTTTCCTCTCTTTAAGCATGTCCTTGGGTGAGGATTAAAAATAAATAAATGAAAAATCTTTTAAAAGATGGTGGGCAATGTTGTGAGAAAACAGTCCGGTGTGGATGGGCGTGTAAGCAAGCACAGGCTTTCTGGGAAGCAATTTTGCAAGAGCTACACAAAGCCTAAATGTGTGTACCCCTGGACCCATCAATTCTACCTGCAGGAATCTATCAGTTAAGTAACATTCCACTTCAAAAGCTGGGCAAATCCAATTCAGAGTGAATAGAACAATAAAAATTCTTAGCAGATCACATCGTTTGAAGTCCAGAAGTAGTGGAGGATCAGGGTTGCGGATCTGATCCTTCTATGACATCAGCAGGGGTCAACATTGTTCTAAGTCTCTAAACTGACCTTCACAGTGTAAGTCCAGGTTCCTTCAAGTCTGAGAAATAGTCTGCACGCTCATTTACATCTTGCAAGAAAGAGAACGTCTCTTCCGCATCCAAGTCTTCCAAGTGTGTTTTGGCCAACGTGGGGGGAGGGTGGGGGATGCTGTATCAATCAAGCTCTAGCAAGAAACAGGTGACATTCAAACTTGGCAATGTAAGGTAAATGTAATACAGGAGTTATTTACAAAAATGTGGGCAAATACAGGGAAATCCCAAGATACAGAGCAGAACCCCAGGGCTAGCGACAGTAGGCTATACCCCTCAGCACCAGAATGCCTGAGGGGACAAGAGGAGACAATGGTCACAGATCAGAGAGAGAGCTTTGAGGAGAGGACCACTAGACAGGAGACAGAATCTTCCTCAGGAAAAACAGTCATCCTGAGGCACCCCAGGGATAAAAACCCTAACCATCCTCCCTCCCCACCCTCCAATGTCCGACTGTGAATCTTTTTTTTATTTCTTTTTTTTATCCTCACTCAAGGACATTTTTCCAGTTTTTGTTCAGATAGAGAGAGAGAGAAAGAAACATCAACGTGAAAGGAACACATCATATGGCTGCCACCCGCACGACCAACCAGGGTCGGGGACAAACTGCAACCGAGGTACGTGCCCTTAGCAGGAACCGAACCCAGGTCTCTCTGGACCACAGGCTGACGCTCTAACCGCTGAGCCAAACCGGCCAGGGCCTTTCTGTGGGTCTTGAAGGGTTATTAGAAGACACTCAGCGGAGTCCAAACCTTTGCCCCTCCAGTCCATGTTCTTCCTCCATGAGTAAGAGGCCTGTGTTCCCTACTCCAAGCGAAATATAAAAAGTCACCCGCTTGTATATTCATTCACCTACTGAAGGACGCCGTGATGGCTTCCAGGTTTGGGCAATGATTAATAAAGCTGTTATAAAGATTCACGTGCAGGTGTTTGTGGAGTGCCATTGCTGGGCCATATGCTAAGATGCCGTTTAGCTTTGTTTTTTTAAAAAATTGCCAGCCTGTCTCTGAAGGGGCTGTGACATGTTGCATCCCCACCAGCAACAGCTCGGAGTTCCCGCTGTCCCGCATCCTCACCAGCACTGGGGACGGTCAGTGTCCTGGATCTTGATCATTCTAATAGGTACCTAGTGGTACCTCCTTATTTTTTCATTTGCATTTTCCTGATGACATATGATATGGAGCATCTTTTCATATGTATATCTCCTTCGGTAAGGTGTCGTATTCAAATGTTTTGCTCATTTTTAATTGAGTTGTTTATTCTCATATTAATGAGTTTTAAGAGATCTTTGTATGTTTTAAGTTTCATCTATTTCTTTGTACTTTTGCTGTTATGCCTACTGGAAAATTTAAAATTCCCTACACGGCTCCGATTCGCGCCTCACATTATATTTACTTTGGACACTGGTCTCAGGATGAACTGTGGTGCCAGAAGGACCCAGGGACAGTGCGCTGCAGGGACCAGCTGCTCACCCAGCTGTGAGGAAGGGCCAGGGGCCAAGACAGTCCAGAGCACAGCATTTTAGTGTGACACTTCTCACACACTGATTTTTGCAAACTCCCCCCAAATAAAACATTAAACTTGCAGCTTTTTTAAGTCAATGATCAAGCAATATGTGCAGCTCCCATGCTCATTTGACGGTCTGTCCCCCAACCCCCGACCCAGCGCTGTGGGGCCCAGGGCCCCGTGTGTCACCTGGATTCCCGCTGCCGTCTATTAACGGTTCGATTGCCTCCAGCCCTCACCGATTCAAGCCATCCTGCTCACTTCCGGCAGCCAGGTTCTCCAGAATACACATCTGCTCTGGCCACTGTTCTCTAATGCCTTCAATGACTTCCTGCTGCCGAGACAATAAGGTGTAAGCTCTTTGGCATGTGTCCCGTGTCCCGATAAGGGACAGAGGCACAGTCACAGGCGGCACACTGGGGAGCACGCGGGAGTGCCCACGCATGTGCAGGCAGGTCCAGAGGAAGCATGGGGGGCTGGAAAAGGACCCGGCGCTGGCACTGGAGTCCATCACCCCCCAGAGGAGAGGGGCGGGGACCGGGGCTAACTGTGGGACAGGGCTGGAGCTCGGAGGGGGCTGCTCTAGCCACACTCTCCCCTTTCTCTGATCTCCCATGGCCTGAACACAACCAAGAGACAGGACAAGAGACACTGGAAGCTGGCCACAGGGTCAGTCTAGGTGCAGAGCAGGCAGACACAGGGCCCCCACCTGAGGCTCAGGGTCGCACATCACCGGGATTCCTGCCAGCCCACAACTGCCTGCCCTGCTCCAAGCTGTTCACCTTCCTTTGGTCAAGAAATCCCTCTAAAATGCAACCCCCTTCACACCACTCCCCTCAGTGCCAGCCTCCACACTCTCTACCTCCCAGCTCTGCGGGGAGACCCCAAGACCTGTTATGAGCTGATGCTGCTCACCTTCTTGCTCACACCTCACTCACCTTAGGCTCACGAATGAAAATGTTTGGCTCATCACAAACCCCTTAAAGGGCCATCTTCAGCCCCTCCCCCTCCTGAGTTCTGCTGCAGAGAGGGCCCAGTTGCCAGGGTGTCCAGAAACCTTGAACCACCTTTACTACCTGCCCCTGGGCAGGCTGTGCTGCCATCGGCTATTCCTTCCATGACCAGCAGAGGGCACCATGGCTTCAAAAGACAGCGAGTGACCCCAAGTGACAGCCTCTGGAGCCCACACACCTCCCACAGGCAGAACCTCTTGCATAACCATGGAATCGTGCTTTTTCAACTTTTTTTTCTTTTTACAACAATTCACTCTTTGACATACACTTTACCTTGCAGTTCAGTGCACATATACATGTATATTTATTATCAACTTTTAATATTAACCTGCCAAAATCTGACAGCTGAAGGTATTTCATAGTGAAGAAAATTCAAAAAGTAAATAGTTTAACAAAATTAAATTTAGTTGGTTAATTAAAGTGAATTTGGGGTCTTTGTACCTTTAGCAAAGTCATTTTTAAATAATTTGTGTTTATATGACACATTTATTTTGTAACATATTTGGATTCTTATTGAATACATGGAAGTATTCCATAAAAATAGTGAATACATGAAATGCATAGCAGTACATTTTTTTTCACTGCATGCTTAATTTCTTTTGGTTTTCAATGCAACTTATTTTGAAATAGTCTTTTAAATGCAGATGACAAAAATAATGCACATTTGCCTGTGTAAAGCCATAGAGGCCTCCAGTCTCCTTAAAAACAAAACGTGATTTTCCCGTGTTGTTTATTTATATTCTGAGCAGCCAAATACAATGCATTTTCATGAAAACGAGGAGGATCGGATTAACCCACTTCCTACTGGCCGGCTTCTACTCGCTGACCTCGCTGGGGCACGATTCGACTTTGTGGACGGGAATAAATGAAAACTCGGTGTATTGCTTTCTCCCGGGCTTCTGTGTCATCGTGACAGGTTCCCCCGAACTGGCGGTGCTGAGGAACCAGCCGGTGTGAGCAGCCGACTCGAGCAGGTTCCGGCAGCCCACCTTTATCCGGTAGAAGGCGAAGCTCTTCAGGTCTCCCTTTGCAGAAAGCAGCTGGGACAGCTTCTTCTCCTGTGAGATGCAAGGGATCGATTAGCGGCGCAGCTGGGAGAGGGACACAGCCTGCGGCTCAGAGCCAAGGAGGACAGGGAGCTCTTCTTCCTGGGGGTGCTCCTGGCGTCCAGCCGAGGGAGGGGGTGTGGAGAGTGACAGCCATGCATCTCGGCCCCCCCCCCCCCCGGGGTGGCTGAGGGCACAGGACATCGGATGGGAGTCCTCACCTTCAGCCGGAGAGTGGGCTGGCTCTTGGTCTTGTCCATGTCACAGCAAAGAAAGAGCTCTTCCTTAGACACTGCCAGGAACACTGGACTGCCCTGCTTCTCACAGGCGGAGCTCAAGTGACAGGCGGACACAAAGAAGGTGGCTGGGAACAGACAGTCACACAGGGCCGTTGGTCCTCAGGGCAGGGAAGAGGCCTCCCAGGGTGTCAGGCTCCTTCACTCTGGTCCGAGCCGCCTCCTCCCCCACAGTCCAGAAAGACTTTCCTCAGATCTTGTCACCATCACAGACCCACCACTCCATTCCCAGAAGTCCCTGGGGCCCCGCCACCGAGCCCCTCTCTGCTGGCACTGGGGGTCTCCAACAGCCTGGGCTGAGCCCCCGCACAAAGGCCTTCCCCTGGCTGCAGGGGACCGAAAAGAGCCGAGAGAGAGTCACCTGGGAGGATGTAGCTTTTATTTTGAACTGCTATGAGTTTCTTAGCATCCAGCACCAATACTTTGTGGTCCTGGTCGTGAAAGGTGAATCTCTGTGGTTTCTGATTCGCCACTCTTGGCCCTAGGTCAATATAACCAGAAGTCAACACTTCACATTGAAAAGGGAAAACTCGCCCTGGCCAGTTTGGTCCAGCCGTTTAGAGCATCAGCCCCCAGAACCAAGGGTCACAGGTTCGATTCCTGGTCAAGGGCATGTACTTGAGTTGCAGGTTCAATCCCTGGACCTGGTCAGGGTCGTGAGGGAGGAAACCAATCCATGTTTCTCTCGCACATCAATGTCTCTCTCTCTCTCTCTCTGCACCGGGAAAGCGGCGATGCTGACATTTCCTCCTGGGTTACTGTGCAGTGCACATGCAGCCTGTGGGAGGCGCTCTAGCTCAGTGGGCTTGCGGCTCTCGGAGGTGTGGGTCCGCCATGCGCCTCCCCTGTCAAGGCCCTGGTTTTCCTAGGCACTGTGAGGAGGTATGTGTGACCTTTTCTCTCTGCAGAAACCAAGGCCCACCCTTCTTATGGGCCCTGCCGAGATGTGTCTACAAAGGAGAAGCCTCAACTCCCCCAGCACCCTGAGGTGTCCCCGCTCTCTGGCTCTCTCACTCCCCCAAGACAGCCCAGCAGCGCCAGCCCCACCCCCACCCGGGCCGTACCTGTGTGTGCTGAGCTCAGGGCGGGGAGGCTCAGGCCCGGCTCCAGGGGGCCTCTGGCGGGCTCTGGAACAGAGACAGTGAGGTTGGCATACGCATTGGGATTTTCCAGGGACTTAAGAACCCCGGGGGCCACTTAATGCCTTCCTTATTTTTCATATGTTTTCAGAAACACTAAGAAGAGAGCCAGTAATGACATTAAAAGTAGCTTTTCTGATTGAAAATGGTGGGGAATGGGGATGAAATGGAGCTGAGCATGAGCTCGGGGAGAGCGCTCGGCGCCCACAGCTGCAGGAACACGGGGTCCTGCCTGGCAAGTCTGAGAAATGCCGGATGAACGCATCGGCGGACGCTGTCGCACCGGGGCACACAGAGCTGTGGAAGAAGGAAGCCCATCCTCTGCTCCGTGTGGAGGTCCTACCGCCTGCCCTGCCACCACGGGCCGTTCCATAACCCGCCCGGCTCCCCCGGAGCCCCGTTTCCCGACGTGTCCCCCAGTTCTGACAGCCCAGGCGTCCAAGCAGCAGAAGCAGCGGCAGCGTGAGGGCAGGGTCTCCGTGTCAGCATTCGGAGTCCCGGGTCCTGGGAAACTGCACCGTGTGTTCCTGTGCCCGCCCAGGGACAGAGCGCGGAGCCACCTCCCAGCCCCTGCTCAGGAGCAGGGCGGGGTCCAAGCCTCTCTCGTGCCTGCTGGTGGACCCACAGTTGTCAGACCAACGTCCTGGTTTTTAGTGTCACACTAAGATGGCCATGTGCGAGCCCAGAGCTCGGGGACATGGCCTCTGGCATGTCACAGGCCTCTCCTTTCACACCCGCGCATTGGAGAGTCACGGGGGTCACAATTCTGCTTTCAACGTCTCCCTAGAGCCAGCGTCCAAGTCCTTCCTCCAGGGAGCGCTCAGGAGCACTTGGTCACTGCCCAGCCGGACTCAGACCCCCTGCCACAGGCCTCTATCTGCTGGGCAGTCAGGGGGGACATAGGTGCATTTGGGGGATTCAAAACCAACCCATTGCCCAGCCGGTGTGGCTCAGTGGTTGAGCATCGCCCCATGCACCAGGAGGTCGCTGGTTCGATTCCTCGTCAGGGCACATGCCTGGGTTGCAGGCTCAATCCCCAGTAGGGGGTGTGGCGTGCAGGAGGCAGCCCACTGAGGTTCCTCTGTCATCAATGTTTCTATCTCTCTCTCCCCCTCTCCCTTCTGATCTCTGACACTAATTTAAAAAACATCCCATTGGTGAGTCAGGATGTCGAACCCAAGTCTCTGGTAAAGTTGACCCTTTTATCTACCACCTGCTGACCCTGGGCTCCTCTGACTGTTTCATGACTCCTCAAGGATTTCTGTCATCTAGTACCTAGCAGGGAACTTCTCAAAGCTCAGTCTCCACGACGGTCCCCGGGGTGGCCGGGTCCTCCTCCAGCAGTTCCTGCAGGCCCCGTCTCCACCAGACCCTCACCTTCCGCGCCGCACTGGGGGTCAGCTCTTTCCCAGTCCCCAGAGTCCATCCTCGCCTGTGCGTTCTCCTCCAGACAGGACATTCCCAGTGCGACGAGAGGGCTCAGCAGGAGCCTGGGACGAGGGCAGGACCTGAGTGGGCAGGAAGGACATGGTCACAGCACCTTCTGACCCCGGATGCCCTGCGTGTGGAACAGGCCCCGGCCTCCCTCTCCTCTTGGACACGTCTGGCGCGTCCAGGGAGGCCTCCGGGCAGACCCGGCTCTGCCTTCCAGCACTCCTTCTTGATTTCTGCCCCGTCCAAGCGACATTTTCCAACCTGTGGGTCACAATATCATTTTTATGGATCTTGACAACATTTTATAAAAATGAAATAGAGCCCTGGTTGGTTTGGCTCAGCGGTTAGAGCGTTGGCCTGTGGACCAGAAAGACCCAGGTTCAGTTCCCGCTAAGGGCACGTACCACCGTTGCAGTTTGTCCCTGGCCCCGGTTGGGGTCGTGTGGGTGGTGACCACTCGATGTGTCTCTCGCACGTTGATGTTTCTCTCTCTCTCTTCCTCCCTCTCTCCCTCCTGCTCTGTCTGAAGATAAATGTAAACATATCCTTGGATGAGAATTAAAAAAAAAAGAAATAGAAAGTTCAAACTGTATTGCTCTAATCCTGGGCCTGGCAAACTATAGCCCACAGACCAAATCCTGTCCACTCTTTTTTTCTAAATAAAGTTTTATTGGAACACAACCCATGTACGTCGTCCTTGGCTGCTCCCCGGCTACACAGCAGAGAACAGTATTGCAGGGGAGGTCACATGATCAGTAAAGCCTGTAACGCTGACTGTCCCAATCTTTACAGAAAATTGCCGCACAGACCCCTGTCCCCCATGTAGTCTAATCTTTGCAAAGAAAGGCAATTTCTTTGCCGCCTCTTGCCATGGAAAACAAAGCCTCCACACAGAGACTCCGCTCCTGGCGTGCCAAGGCGCTGACACAGGACCCCCCTCCCCAGTATCGCATGTCACTTCTCGGGTCACACGGTCCTCCCAGCGGCAGTCCGGGACAGCACAGCGAAGGCAGGGGCCAGCATCCCTGTGTTTGAAGAACACCAAGAGGAAAGTTTTCAAGACAAAAACCTGGAGTGACTTCTCAAGGGCCACGTCACTCTAAGATGGGAGGTGAGGCCCTGGCCGGTGTGGCTAGTTGGTTGGGTGTCGTCCCATGCACCAAACGGTTTCCAGTTCTATTCCCGGTCAAGGCACATGCCTGGGTGCGGACTCCATCCCCCGACCGATGTTCTCATGTTTCCTTCTCTCTCCCCCTCCCTCTCTCTCTACAAATATTTTTTAAAAAAGATTGCAGAGCCCTGGCCGGTTTTGTTCAGCGGTTGGAGCATCGGCCTGCGGTCCAGAGAGACCCAGGTTCGGTTCCCGCTAAGGGCATGTACCTCGGTTGCAGTTTGTCCCCGGCCCTGGTTGGTCGTGAGGGTGGCAACCACTCAATGTGTCCCTTTCACGTCGATGTTTCTCTCTCTCTCTTCCTCTTTCTCCCTCCCACTCTATCTGAACAAAAAATGGAAAAAAATATCCTCTGGTGAGGATTAAAAAAAAAAGATTGCAGATGGGCAATTTATGTGGAAAAACCAAACCTCCAAGAATGTCTCAGGCATGTGGCAAAGGGAACTAAATTGTTTCACAAACAGTGGAAATGCTAAGGGCTCCAGGGCCAGGCAGCAAGGACCGTGGGGAAAGGGACACCTGTGCCCGGGGCGGGAGACCGGATGGAGCTCTAATGGGTGGATGGAGAGCCTCTATTTGATTTTACCTTCTTTGGGTTTTGTCCGCATCCCCTGAACCCACAAAGCACACCTTCCTTTGCAGTTCTGGGAGTAAATCAAGGGACACCGGAGAAGGCAGAGAATGCGGCAGCCACATCCATCAGAACAAGAGGTGTCTGGCCCTGGCCCGTTTGGCTCAGAGGTTAGAGCATCAGTCAGCCTGCGGACCAGAGAGACCCAGGTTCGGGTCCCACTAAGGGCACATACCTCGGTTGCAGTTTATCCCCGGTCCCGGTTGGGGTCACGTGGGTGGCAGCCACTCGATGTGTCCCTCACATCAATGTTTCTCTCCCCCCCCCCCCGCTCTATCTGAAGATAAATGTAAAAATGTCCTCGGCGAGGATTAAAAAAAAAAGAACAAGAAGTGTCCGGCAGAAATGTGGGTGCCCGGGGCGAAGACCCTGCGGTGCTGCTGAGCAGAGTGACACCATAGGCACCAAGACCTGCATCGCCCCCGTGAGCTGCTTACGGACGGGCCGCCCATGTCCAGACACATGCAAATGGGGCCCACAAGGCTCCCTGTAGAAGCAGTGCATCCGGCACCTCAGATCCATCTCTTCCCACCCAGGATCACTCAAAATATGGCGTCCCAGCGTCTCCTCTGAAGACCAGTACTGGCCAGACTCTGAAGTCAGAAAAGGTGCCAGCCACCCGGCTGATCTGGCTCAGTGCTTGAGCATCGACCCAGGCACCGGGTGGTCGCCAGTTTGATTCCCGGTCAGGGCACATGCCCAGGTTGTGGGCCCGATCCCCAGTGCGGGGGCATATGGGAGGCCAATCAATGTTCTCGCTCATCAATGTTTCTCTCTCTCCCCCTCTCCCTCCCTCTCTCTAAAAATTCAACAAAGAAAATGAAAGAAGGAAAAGGTGCCAGCCTCCTCCTGAGGCTTCCAAGCTCAGTGTGTGCCTGGCCCTGCAGCTAGGCCCTGCTCCTCGGCGAGGCCATCCGAGGAGACCGCGGGCTGCTGCTGGGCAGGCGCCAGAGCTGGCATTCAGACATTCAGCGAGTCCGTAGGCTTCTAGTGGGGACACGGCAGGATGGGGAGGCCGTGCTGCTCCGCTTCCCCACGCTGTCTGCTGGCCTCTTGAGCTGGGGGTGAGGACCACCTACCTGGGCCAGGGATCCCTGTGGTCTGTGGCTCTGTCTTGGGTGCCCGGAGCGCTGGTCTCCTGCCCTCGGGATCTCTGACCTGGGGGAACCCGGTCTCACCCTCATTATGAGCAATCCGTTTGGGAGTATATATGCAAACGCCTCAGCAACATTCCTCAGCCAGTAATAACAGCATCTCGGGTTGTCAGCTGCCACTGCCTGCCATTTTCTAGCCGCATGCATAAACAAATTCCTCCGGGGCAGTGTCACTCTGCCAAGGACTGGGCCACATCCATTCGACGCATCTCAACGGTGGGCGGTGCGGCTGCCCGTCTGCTCCAACGACACGTGTGGCGAAGAGACGCGAGGAAGAGAGGGATGGAGGGCAGGTCGGGCAGCAAGCCTGGCGGTGCGGAAGCCCCGTCCTCACCGGTTCTTTGCCCCAGTCCCAGGTGCAATGACCACGTCCCGGAGGACAATGTCCTCCTGTCTTCTCTCCTCCAGGTGCACTCCAGGACGTCACCGGCACCTACCCGCCACCATTTCTTCAATGGGGACATGCCAAGCTCCCCAGCGAGCAGGCCCACCAAGGACCAGCTTCTCTTTACAGCCGGTTGGTGTTTCCTTACGTCTTGCATTGCTCCTGTCGTTCACAGGTATGGCTGTGCCTCAGAACACCAAAACAGCCAGTCAGTTCAGACGAAAACCCACACAACCAAGTAAGATGGTTACGGAAAGGGGACCTGGCCCTGAGCGGGTCTGCCTAGGCCCAGCCGGCAGCATGTGGGTTCATGTTGTGAAATTCAAGTTCCACAACACGAGTCCAGGTGAGTTTCAGAGGACGTTTACTGAAGCTGGGACAGTGAAACAAGGCAGGGCTGGGAAAGGAGCCTAGGCTGGGCTGCTTTGGCTCACTAAGGAGTCAGAGAAAAGGGGGCCTTGGGGACAGGTTCAGGGGTTTGCCTGGGATGAACTGTCACTGCCCATTGCTGCCCTGGATGCAGGCCTTGTGGGGTCCCCTAGAGTCTAGGAGATGCGTGCCTGCGGGGTCCCCTAGAGTCTAGGAGATGCGTGCCTGGTCGGGGGGGTGGGGGGCCCCCTGCGAAAGAGAGCGCCCTCTGGGTCCTTTGTCTTGCTTTATCTCTCTCTTGCAGGCGGAATCTGCGGGGAGGCCTGGGGAGGTCTCACCAGAATACTCATCAGTGTCCTAGCGGTGCTCCGCAGGGTCGTGGTCTCCACTGATTGGTCAGTGTCAGGGCAGGGGGTCCTTAGTCACTGCTGCTGGTCCTGGTGTTGCCCACCTGGTTTTGCTGCTTTTCTGCGTCTGGAGCTGAAATACAACTGAGGCCTAGAGGTTCTCTCTAGGGAGGTGGCCTCTGTACCGCTGTAAACTGCTGTCAGTTTGTTCAGCTCTGTGTCAGTGTCCCTGTTCCACTTGTCCTGGCTCACTGGCCTATCTCAAGATCACAGCTTCTGGGCCCCACCACCAGCACCACCAAACACGGGAGCAAAGCAACAGCCACAGTCCTGGCGCCTGCTGCCACCGCCCGGCCTGGGCCGAGCCCATCGAGGACCCTGCTGGGAGGCGCTGTCCTCACTGCTGTCCAGACAAGACAGCACTTCTAGGGCTAAGCCACTGACGCTGATCACAGATCTAGTCTGGCAGCACAGGGCCACAGAGCAGGCCTTGCTGAGGGGGTGGCCGCTCGGCCCCTAACCGGTCTCTCCTAGTCTCTTCCACACTCACATCTACACCACAGGCAGGTGCAGCGAGTGTTCCACAGACTATTTTGTAACGTGCCTTTCCTACTGACAACGCATCCTGCTTTTTCTACTCAACGTGAGCTCTCGGATCAGTTTACTTGATCAGTCCTTTTCTACATTATTTCTTTATCGCTGCAAGGTATTTCATCTCCATCTAAAGACCTGGGAAAATGCTGTTTCCGGACCGCTGGGATGAAAAGCCCTATTTTGTCTGTTAAATTCCTAAAGGAGAGAGCCCTTTGGAGAATTTCTTCACAAACCTTTGGGATGGGGATGCGATGGCGAAGGCAAAGAGGACGCAAAAGCAAAGTCAAAGCGGACTCCTGGGCAGGAGCTACTGTTGTCGGGGCTCCGGGTGAGGGGCCGGGGGGTGCCCGGTAGGGGTGTGTAGGAAACAGACT